GTGGCTCATACCTGTAATCCCAGCACTTTGGGAGGCCATAGTGGGAGAATCACTTGAGGCCAGCTATTCAAGACCAGCCTGATCAGCACAGGGAGACCCCATCTCTACAGATAATTTTTAAAAATTAGCCAGATGTGGTGGCACCTGCCTGTGGTTCTACCTACTTGGAAGGCTGAGATGGGAGGATTGCTTGAGCTGGGGAGGTTGAGGCTGCAGTGAGCAGTGATCATGCCACTGCACTCCAGCCTAGGCAACAGAGTAAGACCCTGTCTCTAAAAATAAAAATAAAATTTTTTTAAAAGAAAAATTAGCAGTAAAATGGGAAATAATCATAAATGAAAAGAGTAACAATACAAAGTGAAAAGAATAACAATACAAATTATACAGTTTTTCTGTTTTAAACTATATAGAAACATCGAAGGAAATATACAGAATTGTGTATTAACCATTAGTTAACTTCTAGGTAATACGATTTTGAGTAACTTTGTATTTTATAATTATCTGTTGAAAAAATAGTTTCATAAAAGTGACAATGTGACCTCATGGCAAAAAGCCAGGATGTAGTTAATTAGTGAATTCAAAAATTCTGAGAATAGCATAATCAGTGAGAGTATGGTATTGGAGAGAGCTCTGGAGATTGTTGCAATTGAACCCTAGGCCCTGTCGAATTTATGTTTGTGACAGTGAGGGTGCTGTGGGAATGCATTCTAGGTAGTAGGAAGTATGCAGGTCAGAAGAATAGTACTGGAACTGCAACAGTGTAGGAGAGACTTAAAATGGATGCCTGATTAGTGTATATGTAAGGCTGATAGGGCCAACTTGTAATCTTTGAAAGTCTATATTGGTGGTGCTGCATATCTATGATGTGTATACTCTTTTCAACAAAGTAGTGTTATTTGTCTGCTTTGCGGAGAGGTAATATGATACAGGGATCAAGAGCGTGGGCTTTGGTTTCAGATTAAATTAAAAATCTAGCTCTATCACGTATTACACATGTGACCTTGGGCAGACTACTTAATACTCTTATGTTCCTAGTTGTCAACATCCATAAAACCCGGGATGGTAATAAAAGCTACTCCGTAGGGTTGTTGTGAAGATTAAGTGCAGTATATTGTACTTACTTTTATTACATCGTGCTTGGTGCGGGACCTGGCATTTGGTAAATATTCGACAAATGTTTGTGCTATCATTGTTGGAAAGAGAAAAATTACGATATAGGGAGAATAGGTTTGAACCTTTTTTTTTTTTTTTTGAGATGGAGCCTTGCTCTGTTGCCTAGGCTGGAGTACAGTGCCACAATCTTGGCTTCCTGCAACCTCCACCTCCTGGGTTCAAGCGATTCTCTTACCTCAGCCTCCCGAGTAGCTGGGACCACAGGCTCATGCCATCACACCTGGCTAATTTTTTGTATTTTTAGTAGAGATGGGGTTTCACCATGTTAGTCATGATGGTCTTGATCTCCTGACCTCATTATCTGCCTGCCTCGGCCTCCCAAAGTGCTGAGATTACAGGTGTGAGCCACCATGCCCGTCCTGAACTTCTTATAAAAATTCAAATGAGGGCGAAAACTTGTATCTAACTGTAAAGCACAAACTTTTCATCTTTCTCAATATTTTTCTTAACCCATATGTTTACATTGTTTCCCTATATTGTCTTTTCCTTTTCTATTTTATAAAGCTCTTTTTGAGAACCATCGAAACTGTATTCCTTGTAGTTACTAATGTATTCTTATTTCAGACCCAAATACAACAGCTTCCTTTCTTGCAAAGAGGAAATACTCTATTTCTTATTTCTTTTAGATGAATCGGCTTTAGATAAAATAATAGAAAGATGCCTCAGGGATGATGATTATGGCTTGATGGAAGAATTCCAGCAATATTGTGGCAGCTCAGAGGAGGATCACGGTAATCAGGGAAATTCAAAAGGAACAGTCACACAAAACAAAACTCTTGGGAGTGGCAATAGGGGTGAGGAATTTGACCCAGGTAAAAGCCCCTTTGGACATAATTTCAAAGAAACTTCAGACTTAATTAAACATCTGAAAGTCTACTTGAGGAAGAAATCTCGGAGGTATAATGAAAGCAAGAAACCCTTCAGTTTTCATTCAGACCTCGTTCTGAACCGCAAGGAGAAAACCACTGGAGAAAAGTCATGGAAATCTAATGACGGTGGGAAAGTCTTAAGTCATTCTTCAGCTCTTACTGAACATCAGAAACGTCAGAAGATTCATTTGGGGGATAGGTCCCAAAAATGCAGTAAGTGTGGGATAATCTTTATTAGAAGATCAACTCTTTCTAGGAGAAAAATCCCTATGTGTGAGAAATGTCGGAAAGATTCATGTCAAGAAGCAGCCTTAAATAAAGATGAGGGAAATGAGACTGGAGAAAAAACTCATAAATGTAGTAAGTGTGGAAAAGCCTTTGGCTATAGCGCCTCACTCACCAAACATCGGAGAATTCACACTGGAGAAAAACCCTATATGTGTAATGAATGTGGAAAAGCTTTTAGTGATAGTTCGTCGCTCACGCCACATCATAGAACTCACAGTGGAGAGAAACCCTTCAAATGTGATGATTGTGGGAAAGGTTTCACCCTAAGTGCTCACCTCATTAAACATCAGAGAATTCATACTGGAGAAAAACCTTATAAATGTAAAGACTGTGGGAGACCCTTCAGTGACAGTTCATCTCTTATTCAACATCAGCGAATTCATACCGGAGAAAAACCCTATACATGTAACAATTGTGGAAAATCCTTCAGTCATAGCTCATCCCTTTCCAAACATCAGAGAATTCATACTGGAGAGAAACCCTATAAATGTGGCGAATGTGGAAAAGCCTTTAGACAGAATTCATGCCTTACCCGGCATCAGAGAATTCACACTGGAGAAAAACCGTATTTGTGTAATGATTGCGGAATGACTTTTAGCCATTTTACATCTGTGATTTATCATCAAAGACTTCATTCAGGAGAAAAACCCTACAAATGTAACCAATGTGAGAAAGCCTTCCCAACTCATTCACTGCTTAGTCGTCATCAGAGAATTCATACTGGTGTAAAACCTTATAAATGTAAAGAATGTGGGAAGTCCTTTAGTCAGAGTTCATCTCTTAATGAGCACCACCGAATTCATACAGGAGAGAAACCCTATGAATGTAACTATTGTGGTGCAACCTTTAGTCGAAGCTCAATCCTTGTAGAACACCTAAAAATTCACACCGGAAGGAGAGAATATGAATGTAACGAATGTGAGAAGACTTTTAAAAGTAATTCAGGCCTCATTAGACATCGGGGATTTCACGCTGCAGAGTAATCCTGGAACTACATTAAGACGGGGGGAATTTAATTCAAATTGTCAGTTACTGAAACCCTGGGATATAAACTTACAATATTGATCAGTAGCTGCAACTTTCATAAATTGGCAGTTAGGAAAAATATTCTTTTGCCCATCCCTCTTCTTTTCAAGGATGGCAACAGCTGGTAAACAGTAATTAGTTGGTAATGTCACTGGAAAGGGAAGAATGCAGAATGATTCTGAGGCCAAACGAATTGGAAAAACTCTTTTCTTCAGGGCATTTCCCTCTAATTTCTTCCACTACCATGTAGTGTGATGGAAAGAGAACTTGACTGCAGTCAGATAACTCGGATTCTGTCCCAGTTTGCCAACTAACTTGCTGTATACACCTTGGACAAGTCATTTGACCTTTCAGAATTTTATTTTCTTCACCAGCAGAATGAAGGGATGGGACTAATGATTTTTGTCTTTTTTGGTTTTTTAGTTTTTGGTTTTTTGATATTCCTGATAATCTCTGAAGCTGTGGACATAAGTTTTTTGTTTTTTTTTTTTGTCATTACTTTCAAGTTTCTCTAGTGAAAAATACCACTATTCAGGATACTGGACTTCTTTTTTTTTTTTTTTCCGCTTTTCTTTTTTGGGATGGTGTCTCACTATGTTGCCCATGCTGGTCTTGAACTCCTGGGCTCAAGTGATCCTTCCATCTCAGTTTCCTGAGTAGCTGACATTACGGGTACACTCCACCAAGCCTGGTTCCCAGGATGCTGGACTTCTAGCTTAGTGAGAATGCAGTATAGTTGTTGAAAACTTTGTGCAGGAATCCCTGAAATGCTGTAACTAGGAATGGGCCAGTGAAACTCAAACAACTTTTCCTTGAGGGAGTATTTTAATTGGCCAAGGGAGCTCTTTTTCTTTTGGCGTTGGCCAAGGGGACTGAGAAGCCAGAGAGCTTGCACGGGAGCCATCTCAGCCGTGAGAATAACAGTCCTAGGAAAATAGATGGGGGCTGAGGCGAAGGAAGTGTGCTGAAAACAGAGCTGTTCTGGATGGATTTTGGTTTGCAAAAATTCTACTTTAAAACAATGTTGCCTGTAGCAAGTACATTTTTTTGCAACTGGAGTGTAAATATTCTATATGGCAACAGTTAAAAGCTGTTCTAACAATTTGTCTACTTGGGGTGTGCCTGCGTGTGTGTGTGTGTGTGTGTGTGTGTGTGTGTGTGTGTACATTGTTGCCGCTGTCTAAAATTAGGGCATTTCATACTAAAAACAATGCTTGTCTTAAAAAATTATAAGGGCTAACAACACTGGGCTTATATTTCTGTAAAGCACTCAGCTGGTCCTGGGTAGCAGCTGCCACCTTTTGATGGGGAATCTACTTTCTGACTTAGCTAGTTCTCTCATGTATGTAACCTGACTTTCCCACTCTAGGAATGTTCTGTTATAACCCCTACCATTTTGAGAATAGATACCCTAAAATCTAAAGAGACCCCATTGATAGCAAGTAAAGTTCAGGGAATGAATGTAGAATTGATACAGAAAAAATTTTCAGTTAAGTTTTCTTTCGTGACATTAGACCTCAGAGGAATGGAATATACGGGTATTGGTGGATTATTCCTTATAAATTTCATTGGTGGAGTCTGAATAATAATTTCCAACTGAAAAAGGAACTTAAGGCCCTGAATGAGTGAGGTTTTAGCTTCAGGTCATAGGGTTCTGGAGAAACCCCATGGACAATGGTCTAGAAATAAGTTCCTAAAGTTGAAATTGTAGGCAGCTCCTATAGAAAGAGAGCTAAACAAGAAAATTCTTGGTTTATGGAAGTAAAGCGATCCTTAATGCTGATCTTAGACTCAGGAACATTTACTGTGACTAATGTATGTAGGTGTGAAATGCTACCTCTGGGAGAAGGTTTTTGGTGCCTCCCCAAACCCAAGCCTGCAGTTTAAATATTGCCATGTGATAAATTGGTCTGCATAGTTATTGCTCAGCGGACCAGCCAATCACATGCTAACCATGAAAGGAATGTGTATAATGAGAATCATTCATGATGGTTTTAAGTTTTTTTCTGAAAAGACAAAAAACTTGGTTTAAGTTTTGTTTTCTGAAAAATATAATTTATAGAAAGAGTTGAAGAAACATGCAAAAGACTTCAGAAAAGACTTGTTCCAGGATGATTACTCTTAGACTCCCTAACATTCATAACAATGTTTTATCCCAGTATCCATTGGGAATCTAGAGTATAAACATTTTTTTAAATGAATTTACTGAGGTACAAATTATGTATCATTAAAACCATATCAAGTGTACAATTCAGTGAATTTTAGTAAATTTGCTGAGTTGTGTAACCATTACCATAATCCATTTTTTAGAACATCATCCCAGTAAGATCCCTTATTCCAGTTTACAGTTAATCTCCCTTCCAACTTCTAATCCCAGGCACCCACTACTCAGTCTACTTTGTGTCTCTAGAGTTGTCTTTTTCTGTACATTTTATGTTATATGTGATCTTTCCATATTTTTTCATTAATGTGTTTTAAGTTCATCCGTATTGTAAGATACTAGTACTTTATTCCTTTTTATCATAAATAATATTAGATTATGTGAATCCTTTGTACATTCACTAGTTGAAGAACATTTGAGGTTTTTCCAGTTTTTGCCTGTTAGGAATAATGCTGCTTTGAACATTGGTATGCAAGTGTTTTGAACATTAGCGTGCAAGCCTTTGTGTGGACATGTTTTCATTTTTCTTAGGCAGATGCCTGAGGGGAGTTGCTATGTCATATGGTAAATTTTTGTTTAACTTTGTTAGGAAACTGCCAAATTGTTTTCCCAAGTGACCGCATTACTTTACATTCTGACTAGTAACGTGTGACGGTTCCCATTTCTCTACAGTCTTGCCAGTCATTGTCTGTTTTTTAAAAATTATACCCATTCTAGTGTTTGAAATATTCCTTTGTGGTTTTAACTCTGATTTTCCAGATGACGAATAATGTCAAAGCATCTTTTATGTGCTCTTCAGCCATTCATGTATCTTAGTGAAGTGTTTTATTGCCAGATTTTTTGTCCATTTAAAAATGGAGTTGCTGATATTGTGTTGTAATCCTTTTTATTCTGGATATAAGTCCTTTATCCAATATGAACTTTCTAAATACCATGTACTAGCTACAGAGGGCTGCCTCAAACTCTGTTGGATAATAATTTATCAAAGTCTTGATTTCAGTAGCTAAGTCTGTATAATTCCCTGCGGGACATTCACTCTGGCCCATCACCCAAATATTTAAATTCACTTTTGGATTAAGTCACATTATCAAAAGGCTTTAAATATCTTTTGATTCCTTATAGGATTGCTTTTATTAAGAGCACTGTGACACATTTTACTTTAAAATGAAGTCCTTGCTTTAAATAATGTTTCCTGTTAATGAGCTTGTATAAATTTTTTTTCATATCACAAGACAAGGCAAGGTTTTTGTCGATAAATTAACTTTATTTATTTTAGAATTACTTTTTAATGTAAAATATATATAGCATAAAATTATCCATTTAAACACTTTTTGGTTATACAACTCAGTAGCATTTAGATAGGTTCACGTTTTTTGCAGTCATCACCACTGTCCATCTCCAGAACTTTTTCATCATCCCAAACTGAAATTCTGTACTCCTTAAACAATAATGCCCCATTTTCTCCTCCTCAAGCTCCTGGTAACCGCTGTTCTACTTCCTATCTATACAAATTTGTTCTCATTACTTGGCATGAATGGAATCATACAATATTTGCCCTTTTGTGTGTGGCTTATTCCACTTAGCATTATGTTTTCAAGGTTCTGCTGTGTCGTAACAGGTATCAGAATTTAATTCCTTTTTAAGGCTGAATAATATTCCATTTAATTCCTTTTTAAGGGTGAATAATATTCCATTGTACTTGTATACCACATTTTGTTTATCCTTTTATCTGCCAGTGGACATTTAAGTTGTTTCCACCGTTTTGGCTATCAAGAATAACATTGCTATAATCAGTGGTGCTTTCTGTTCTTTTAAGTATACACCTAGAAATGGAATTGCTTTATCTTATGATGATTCTATGTTTAACTTCCTGAGGAAATGAAACTACACTATTCTAAATTCCCACCAGCTATGTGCAAGGGTTTTTTCAATATTCCCGCCCTTGCTAACACTTATTTTCTATTTCTTTTTTATAACAAACATCCTAATGGGTTTGAAGTGGTATCTTATTCTGGTTTTGTTTTGCATTTCCGTAGTGATTAGTGATGTTGACTGTCTTTTTATGTGCTTATTGACCATTTGTATCTCTTTGGAGAAATGTTGATTGAAGTCCTTTGCCCATTTTTTAATTGTTTTTGTTGCCATTGTTGTTTAGGTGTAGAAGTTCTTTGTATATCCAGAATATATAAAGAACTTTTCAGGTAAATGATTTGCAAATACTTTCTTCCATTCTGTGTGAGTTGCCTTTTCATTCTATTCTTAATGCCCTTTGAAAAAAGGTTTTAATTTTGGTGAAGTTCGATTTTTCTGTTTTTTCTTTCGTTCCCTGTGCTTTCGTTGTCATGCCTGAGAAACCATTGCCAAATCCAATGTCATGAAGCTTTTCTCCTGTTCTAGGAGTTTTGTAGTTTCAGGTCTTATGTTTAAGTCTTTTAACCATTTTGATTTTTATGTATGGTGAAGGGCCCATCTGCATTCTTTTGCATGCGAATATCCAGTTTTCCCAGCCCCATCTGTTGAAGAGACTATCCTTTCCGTATCATGCATTCTTTGCACTCTCGTCAAAGATCATTTGACCATATACATGCATGTTTATTTCTGACTGTCTACTCTGTTCCTTTGGTCTGTATGTTTGTCTTTATGCCAGTACCACGCTATTTTGATTACTCCAGAAATGTTTTGTAATCAGGATTACACTGTTTTCCTGTAGTATGTTTTTGAAATGAGGAAGTGTGAGGCCTCCAGCTTTGTTCTTTCCCAGATTGTTTTGGCTATTCAGGGGTCCTTAAGATTTCAAATGAATTTTAGGATGG